ATCTTTTTCTTCAAAATAAAGTAATGAATTAAAACTTCCTGCAAATGCTCTTTTTTTGGCATGAAATTCAACATTTTTAAGCGTAAAAATATCTATGATGTTAACACCTTCAGCAAGTTTGACATATGAAGTTTTGAAGCTTGCTGTCAATACAAAATAACAAATATGTCAAATCGCATATATATCAACATATGTGTAACTCCATCTATTGAAAAAATCCGCATTATTAACTGGTACACCTAGTATATCCAAAAAAATCGAAAGCAGGGGCTCAAACAGATACATGCACACCGATGTTCACAGTAGCATTCGCAATAGCCAAAAAGTAGAAACAACTATAGTGTCCATCAACAAATAAATGGACAAACAAAACGTGGTGTACACATACAATGAAATTTTTTTCTGCCATAAAAAGTGATGAGATTTAAAAAAACATTTTAATTGATTTTTAGAGACAGAAGAAGGGAGAGGGAGAGAGAAAAACATCAATGTGAGAATGAAACTGATCAGCTGCCTGTCCTCTACCGGGGCCTGTGCCCGCACCCCAGGTATGTGCCCTGACTGGGAATCAAACCGGCAACCTTCTGGTGCATGGGACATCCAACCAACTGAACCGCACAGGCCAGGGCAAAGGATGAAGTGTTGATGCATGCTACAATATGGATGAACTTTAAAAGCATTATGCTTAGTGAAGTAGCCAGACATAAAAGGACAAATATTGCCTTTTTCCACTTACATGAGGGATCTAGAACAGGCAGACTCAGAGACAGAAAGCAGCACAGAGGTTTCCAGGGACTGGGGAGGGGGTACAAATGAATTAACTTTAATGGGTACAAATTTTGTCAGGGAGGATGAAACAGGTTTGGGTAGAGACAGTGGTGATAATTACGTACATTGTGAGCGTATTTCATGCCACCAAGTGGTACACTTATAAATGGGTAAACTGATACTGTGTTATACCTATTTCTCCATAATTAAAATTTTTTTTTTCACAACTAAAATTTTAAAAGTCATCACTAACCTGCCCTCGTCCTGCCCAACAGAAGAGCCGGGCAGGTGCCCGCGGGTGAAGGGGAGGGAGCAGTGCTAATAGGCGGTGGTGGGTCTGACCATGGCAGCCCTGCTTGGCCGGCTGCAGAGCAGCTGCTGCGGCAGCCTGCGGCCACCTGTACAGGGACCACGTCCAGTAGCCCAGGGGCCACTATCTCAGCAGAGGACAGACTGACCCTTCTCCCCAGAAGACGTGCCCGTGGGCTCACCTCGGAGGCCCGAGAAGCGGCGAGTTCTTTGGCGAGCTGCTCCAGGGCCTCTCTGTTCCGGCCGCAGAGCACCAGCTTCGCGCCCGCGGCGTGGAAGACCTTGGCACACTCTGGAGGGAGAAGAGAACCTGATGTCTGAGACAGTTCAGGGCCTGCCTCCCTGTGCAGCTCCCACTTACCCCATATTCCATCATCTGTCTTGTTTCTACACGCATAGAACATGTATGTGCTAGCCCCAGTGAGGGGCCAGGCATGGCGCCAGGAACTGGGGTCCAGTGATGAAGGAGCCCCAGAGAGCTCGCATCTGGGGCAGGACAGACATCACAGGACGAGGGGAGGCCGGCCTGGCTGACAGACTGCTAGGTGCTGTGCTCAGAACTTTCCATCATCTTCTTTAGCTCTGAAGAACCTGTGAGCTCACCCCCATGTTCACGACAGAGCAAACTCAGCAAGGTCAACCAGGCAGTGCCAGCTACTGTGCTGTGCTGGTCTAGGCCTAACCCAGATGCTGCCCAAGTCATTTTAATGCAACAGGCACATAGCTACCAGGGACACTCACACGGGTCTGTGGAAACACAGAGACACAGGGCTCTGCTGAGAGGGGCTGGAGGCCTGAGGGGCTCTTTTCTGGATAAGGCAGAGGGGCCAGGGGCAGAAGGGGCAGGGGGAGCAGGGGGTGAAGGGGAACATAAGGTAATAGGGAGGCTGGCAATCTGAATCTGTGCCAGTGACCAGCATTCTGACGCACCTTCTTAGTGGTAATTAGCTCCATTCTTACCTGGCTGCCTGCCCTGCCTTGCAGGACCTGCTCCCGGAACACTCCCATTTCACAGAGGCCATAAACCATGAACCATACACACCCCCAGGGGGCTGTCAGCACTGTGGCCAGCCAGGCCAGGCCGTTGGGCGTAACCTCACTTCCCCCATCCCAACCCATGGGGGCTGCGAAGCCCACCGAAGACCGGAAGCCTGGTCCCTATGTGGGGGACAAAGAAACTGAGGGGATGAAAGGAAGGCTTCCTCCACACTCATCACTCAGGCTCTGGAGGCCAATTCCCCTGAGTCCCACCCCCACCCCCCCACCCCCGCCCGCACTAGTGCACCTGCGGTTTTTCATGAAAGGCTCCTCTTCTGAATCCTCTGAGTGCCCGGCTGATCATTCTCCCGTGCCGCCTGGCAGCTTATCTGCAACAGGGGCGGGGCGAGCAGAGGGGGCAGTGGGAGCAGAGGTAAGGGGGGGCAGGGCGAGCAGAGGGGGCAGGGGGAACAGAGGTAAGGGGGGAGCAGAGGGGGAATCTCTCCTCCTCCATCGCTGACCTCCATCCCACACCGGCCAGTCTCCTCTAGGTGAGTGACGTCCCACAATTCCCCTCGTCTCGGGTCCTCTGCCCACTCTCTCTCACTGACTTTTCGGAAGTCTCTCGTCTCAAAAGTCCTAGCGCTGGGCCAGAGCCTCCTCAGCCATTTGACTTGGGTCCTTCTGGCTTGGGAACGCCCAGTCCGGACGGTCACCTCTCGTTTCTCGTGGTGATTTGTTTAGCAGTGGGGACGCCTGCCCTAAACAGTTACCTTTGGATCTGTGGTCTGTCACTCACCCTTCCTCTCTCGTGGCCCACGCCCACGTGAGGGAGATCATGCCCAACCACCTCACTTTATTCTGTAACACTGTTTGGCCACAACAAAAACTAGATAATAAGTCTCAATGGCCTGAAAACAGCGCTTTCAATTTTAAAACACTGAGCAACTTAGATAATTGCTGTCACCGCAATGGAAAATGGTCAGAGTCCCTCCATCCAGGCCTTTTCACCCTCAGTCCCAGCCCTCCCTCTCCGTCCTGCTCTACCTGTCAGATCCTTCTCCGTCACACAAAACATCACCAACGAACACTTCTGATTCTGAATCTACATTTGACCCAGCAGACCACCGACCTCCACCCCCTTACACACCCCCTCCCGGCCCCTGAGAGCCCAACTCCCAAGAACTCAAGCTCCAAAACAGCCTTTTCCCACCATACACTCGCTCTCGGGCCACCCAAAGACCACCCTCAACAGCCTTTTATTCCCGCACCCATTCTACCCCTGAGGGACATGGCAGGAACTGAGGGTATTGTGGTCAATTATGACAAACTTAATGAAGTCACTCAGGGCCCTGATGAAAGCCCAGCTCTCCTCCTCTCCTGCCTCACGAAGGCCTTGCAGAAATTGACCACCTTAGGCCCGACCCCTCAGAGGGAACCCTTCTGAACACCCATTTTATAGCCCAACCAGCCCCTGAGGTACACCATAAACTTTGAAAAATAAACACAGGTCCACAAACCCCTCAAAAAGACTGGACACCTGCCATGTTCTGCGCTGCACCCTGGTGATCAGCGCACATCATAGTGAGTGGTCAAACTCCGGGTAGAGGGGACAATTTGCATATCAGGCTTTTATTATATAGGATCAGCTCCTGATATATGCCGCAAACTTCAAAAAATAGACACAAGTCCACAAACCCCTCAAAGATACCTCGTTAACCTGGCCTCTAAGATCTTTAATAATAGAGATGAGGAGACCCAAGTCCAAAAACAAAAGCGAGATCAGGCCAAGGCTGAGGCCCAGTAGGAGGCCTTCCAGCTCCTAGCCATCGCTCTCATGAACCCCAAACGAAGTGCCAGTCCTCCGACTGTGGGTAAGTCAGGGGCTAAGCCTCCTCCGGGCCCATGCTTCAAATGCAGCAAGGAAGGAAACAGGGCCACCTCCTGCTCAAACCCGAGACCCCCGCCAGGGCCCTGC